TTGTCAGTATGGATATTCAGCGGATAAGTCATTTTGGGGATGGCAGAAGAACTAATTTAGGAACAAAATAGCTCCTTTCATGGCTTGTGAGTTTGCTGTTAAGGAATCCCTTGTAGGATAGATGGTTTGTAGAAACAATGACAGTAGTATGTATGATAAAAAAAGTCCATCCTTCAGTGCTTATCCTTCCTTCTGATGGTCTTCATATTTCTTGTATGTTGAAATAGAGCAGAAGAGGTGTGTCTGTGCTTGAATATGGTGAGAAGGAAGAAACTTGGAGTTAGTAGTTACTGGTTGAGAGCCCAACATGTCACATCTTCCAATCTCAGAGGGATGAGAGTAAGTATCACAGCCTCCTGGACACAATCAGGAGATGCCGTCTCCTTAAAACGCTGGAGGTGATGCAGCCACAGCTTCAGCTCCGGTGAGGTGGGCTCACTGTATTCTGGAGATCCTCTACACACCTTTAGATCATCCCTCAGTTTGAGGAATACCATAAGAGACTGCTTTATAGTATCAGGCTGAGCAGACATAGACATATTGGTTAGAACTTCAACAGTTAGTGACACACGCTCCAAGGTCAGGATAAGACGATCCCTCTGCGTGAGGTCACATGCAGATGGTTTGTGTCTCAGCATTCTTCTGTAGCATCTCATTGCATTGGAGGACGGGTCAGTACGGGTATTCCATGTGCTGGGTACTCATGCATCTGTCTGCTCATCAATGTCTGGTTTTCATCAATATATTATACTACTCCTGCGATATGTCTATTCACTAACTGCTACCAGTCTACAATGCATGAACACATTCAAAGAAATGTACAACAAAATACTTTAGTGCTAAAACCTCACAACGTACCAATATATCAAAAATATCAACTAATAAAACTATATAACAACAAAAACAGATAACTCAAAAATGTAAAATGGTAAAAAAATAAATTAATGGCAACAAGTGAATCATTAGATGTTCACAAAAAGTTCATTTTTTCAATGTAAGGGTTATTCCACTTCAGAGGAGGACAAAAACATACACCTCGGAAAGATGTATATAGACAACTGTTCGTATTGTATTTATGTATTTCTCTTTAATAATACCACATGTATTAATACACATTCATCAATAAAATAAAACAAAATATTTTTTTCTTTAACTTAAATCATTTACAGATCCATTGGATCCTCCAGCGAGCCAGGAATTCATGAAATAAATTATATCTTAATGTTAATAACCAACAATAACTTAAAGCTTGATATTAAATAGATATTCAATAAATAAATAATTAAACAATAATAATAACAACAACAATAATAAGCAATTATTTATTATTAGCTGAAGGAAAAACACAATATATCTTTGTGCATTTTCCAGTCATGTTAATAAATAAAAAAGATAAAGAAAATGTTAGAAAAATTTAGAAGCTTACCCTTTAAAATACTAGCTTAGGGTTTATGTTCATCAGCGACTATGTGACCAATAACGTAAAATAAACCAGTTAACGTAATAAGCATATGATGAAAAAGAATCTAAGCATATGATGTTTAATTAGCTGCACAAGAACCCACTGTGATTAAGGGGCCTATTTACCAAAAATGTGGGTCACGTGCTCTGGGACCCCCTCTAACTGTCACATCAACCTGGGCAATACTCACATCTATGACAGGGGAGTACTGGGAGGCATAAT